AAAGATGCAACAACAGAATGTAAAATTAAATGTATTGACAATCCATTGTCTTGTATTCTGTCATTGTCAATCCTTAGCGGGCAGGTAGGAAGAAGGTGAATGTCTAGGAATGCAGTGTCTTCCTGTTTCATTTTTGAAAGTAAATGCAAGATATGCTGAAACATGAAGGTAGCTGTAAAACCTTGATTGCTCTGATTTGAATTAATTATGCAGTGTTGTGATCCACAGCTCTGCTCTTAAAGTTCGTAGGTGATTTCTTAAAAATAGCTCACTAAAAAAACCAGTGAATTGTGGGGAGAACTGAAATGAAACTTCACAACCCAGGGAACTCACAGTTTACTTTATATTTAAGCATTATTATTGCTTCTTTGTACTCCATAGTTCTTCATGCCTTATTTCAGATCTGCGTAGCTTGATAGAAAAAAAAACAAACCCTGTATCTGTGCTTTCTCAGATGCCCTTCTTCACATAGCATAGTGTGTAGACTAGTGAATAAGTTTACATCTTCATATCCAAAAGCTCAACAAGAACTCCTGTGGTTTGGTTTTTTTCTGCAGGGAAGAGTATTAGAAGATATGCTCTGAGCTGTGAGTTTTTGTCCAGACTCACAGGGCAAACTTTCAAGACTTTTTGGTGTTCATTATGTTTGAGCTCTGCATGTTTCAGGCTGACTGCTAATGTGATGAATGTAATGGTACTTCGAATGAGGAAATGTCTTCTCTTCATTTGTTAGTATTTCCTAATGCAGTAAGCTTGTTGGTCCAGAATTTTGAAAAGTTGTAGTTTGTTTTGAAGCAAGTCTTCCCTCCTCCCCCAGGCTGTTGATTCATCTTGCTAATTGTTGAACTAGAATGCTAAATTCTCTTGTATGTGGCTAGGAAGTTGTCTTAGTCTAGTAAAAAAATTTATGATGCAGACTAAATTTATAACTTAAAATGTGGTGTTCCTCACTCAGTGACTTTCTCTAAAATACTTGAACTAGAAAAAGAATGCTTTTCCACCCACTCTCTGCCAGTTAAATCTCAAATGGCAGCCAGCAAATGATAAGAGAGTGTTTCATGGGGGAACAGAAAATCAGTGTTCAGTCATCTGACTTGTATGTGTTAAAAGAATATTCAATAGAGATTGATATATTAGATTAAATTGTTGTAGTTTCTTGTTCTGTTTGTTCATGCTAATCTTTATATTGGTTTATATTTTAGGGAAGATATTTGGGCTTTTGAAAGTGTTTGGGTTTGTTTTTTCTCTTAAGGTGTGCTATGTATGAATACAGTGTTGATGTGAATGTGCCTAAACTGTCCAAGTTCATTTGATAAAATCACTTATTTCTGTCATGTTCATATAAGTGTTTATGATGGGAGTTAATTTTCTGCTACATTTGGCTATGTATAAAGTTGTTTAAAAAGTTGCATATAATGTATGCTTGTGTTGTTTTCAGGTCTTAACATAAATGTCTATATTTGTCTGTGTTTGCCAACAATCGTTTTTCAAGTCCTTTATGGTTTTAAAGTTTTGCAATTACAGCTGACATTTCTTTCCCTTGTGTCCTATCTTTTGTGTATCCAATTGAATAACCAAAATGTTACCAATCTGTTAATTTTGTTACTTTTGATCTACCAAAAAGAAAAGCCCTAATGAAGTTTTTTCTTCTTAGTTCATTAAGGTAATCCATTACACACAGAACCATAGTGACAGCCTGACAGTAGATCTGATTTGGAGGTTGCTTAGTTTACAAATAAAGTTTTCATATAAGAATGTGTACTTTAATTTTACTATTTGAGAGATGAGGAATTACAAAAGTGTTCTTTTAAACAGTATTTCAGTGTTCAATGATTTGCTTCCACTGCACACAGGTTGTTTACTGCTCTGCCTGCTGCCTTTGTGCTGAACTCTGGTTTTCTGGCACAGCCAGTGGGGAAGCCTGTTGTACTAACACCATGACAGTAAATCTCACAAAGTGCTTGATCCTCTGTTGGGTTTGGGGAGAGGGTCTGCACAGTGGTGTTCTGGATACCATGCAGGAATGGCAGACTGTTGTAGCTGGCAGTTCTTGTTTAGGATTAAGTGTAGACAGGAGTCAAGGACTGATGGACAATTTCAGATGATGTTAAAACATTTACCAAAGGAAATGGGCAATAGGAAAACTTGAAGGGATACTGGAAGACAGTCTGTATTGGCTCTAAACTTTCTGCCTCATTCGCTTTGAGTGAGTTTGGTATTTGGGATGTGGAATATTTCGCACCTATTTTGTAAAACTTCTTTGAATGTAAAATGTGGAGGTATTTGTGCTTGAAGTGAACTCTGCTAAAGGGATGGAAGTGATTGCAGCTTTAAAGCATTTATCCTTCACTGAAATAAGATTGATTCACATCTGTCTTCAGGGAGGAAGCTGATAAACTGTAGGTCCAATTTATTGGAGAGCAGTAGAATGTATCCACTTGCCAGAGAGAGAAGATTAGTTCATCAGTGCTCCTAAAATTAATGGGTTTTAAGCTCTGACAAATCACTCAGGAATTTCCTTTGCTGTAAAGTTCTGATTCTTGATTCCCATGTAACACATAAGATTCTAGTTTAGTTTTAACAGATAAGAACTTACAAGGTCATTTGCTTTCTTGCTGGAGACTTGCAGTGCTTTGGGAAATGGTTTTTCTTTTTGTCAACTCCAGTCGACTTGAGGATTTTCATTTGTTCTAGTTTTCTTTTCAGCGAAGTTACAAACTCCAGCCCTGCTTTGTGCTACTGTGGTTGTTTGCATTGTCAGCCACGTGGAAATAGCATTCCTGGATGCCATATTCCAGTGGAGAAGGCAATGTATAAGTACAGCTCTTACATTGTGATCTCTCACTGAGTAAGTAAAATAGAAAAAACTCTTGACTTGAAGCAGTCCAGATTAGTCAATGACAAGGGATTTGAGATGTCACTATTTTAGAAGAAAGTAACTATATGAGCTTGTGACAGTTGAAATAAATACAAAGAAAACCTTTTTTCTCCCCAGCATAGTTTACAAGTTAATTTTGGAGCCCTGGCTGGATGCCAAATGCCCACCATTGTTGTTCTATCACTCCCCTCCTCAGCTGGATGTGGAGAAAAATGCAATAGAAAAGTTTGAGGGTTGAGATAAGGACAGGGAGAGACATCACTCACCAGTTACCAACATGGGCAAAACAGACTGGAATTGGAGAAATCAACTGAGATTTTTACCAATCAAATCAGTAGGTTAATGAAGAGTAAAACAAATATTAGAAACACTTTCTCCCTACCCCTCCCTTCTTCCTGAGCTTTGCCTTCTTTCTGATTCACTACTCTTCCTCCACAGACTGCAGGGGAATCTCAGCTCTGGCACCTGGGGCATCTCTTCCCCTCCTTCTTCACTGACCTTGGTGTCTGCAGAGTTGTTTCTCTCACATTCTCACTTTTCCCTGGACAGAATTACTTCTGTGCAATATTTTTTTTTTCTTCAGAAGTAAGTTATCCCAGAGGTGCTGCCACTGTTGCTGCTGGGCCTTGTCCAGCTGCAGATCCATCTTAGAGCTGGCTGGCATTGGCTCTGTTGGGAGCTCTATAGGGAAAGCTTCTGCCAGCTTCCCACAGAAGCCACCCCTGTGGCCCTAACTCTCCACATGCTCCTAAAACCCTGGCACACACACCCAATACAATCTTAAACCGTTCAGTTAAAAGACATGTCTTTAATGTATTTTTTTTTAAATGAAATTTTGGCAGCTTAGCATTCATGTCCTAATGACTTCTCAAATACGTTGGGCAGTCAGGCCTGTATCAGATAAGGCAAATGATATATGGCAACATGGGCAGTGGACTTCAGCATCCCTTGATGTTGAAAAGAAATAAAATACTTCTCAGAGCCTAGTTGTACATGGAAAAGACTTTATCAAATTCTTGAAAATACTTTTTTGAGCTAGGAAGATATAGTTGCAAATTAGCTGCTATTTATGCAGATCTCTGAAAATAACTGTGGCATTTTACTCAAGGGGGTTGATTTCATTTTAGCTGTCATCACTGCATTCTTCTAACTCAAGTGATGTCTTTTGCAAGAAAGTTATTACATGTGATTAAAAGTTGAGTACAGATCTAAGACTGCTGAAAATATCTGGTAGCTGTATATCGGTCTGGGATTCAGGCCTGGAACAGCACAATAAACAGTAAAACCTACAAGAGAATCTGTTGCCAGTTAGCACACATAGTCACATTTCCTGTAGCAAACTGAAATTTAGATACCAGACTTGGGCACCTCATTCCAGAGGTGAAGGTCTCTCCCTTGCACCTGCCTTTGGTGCCTGGGAAGGGGTGAGCAGAGCCCCTTTTCTCTGTATAATGAGAACCTACAGTAACGAGGTCATAACTATGCTCCTACTTTTTACATGCTTAAATTTATCAAGGAATAATTTGGGCCATAGCTGTTTAGTTTAATTAATACATGTAGTAAATATTCTGTGGTAAAACTTCTAAAAAAATTACAAGCATCTGTTATAAAATCTGCTGAGAGTTTCAGAGCTGACAGTGACTTGGCTGCCTGTGTTACTCCCTGCATGGGCACAAAGATTAACCTCTCCAAGTGAAATTCAGCCTAAGGAAGGCTCTGCATGGGAGCAGTCAGATAAATTGGCATTGCCATGGGCAAGATTTCTTGGAGTTAAGTTTTAGACAACTGACTTACTAGGTGGTTCTTAGCAATCCAAGCAAGTTGTCTTAGAATTGACAGAAAAGAAATTTCTTTTTACTTAGAGTTATTACTAAGTTGGGTTTTGGGCACTGGGTGTTTTGTTTCCCCTTAGAGCTGGAATCTGATGAACTTAAATTTAAACATATGGGTACAAATTAGTTGGAGTTTATTTTTAGGGTCAGTATATACATCTCCAGAGGACTGTATTTGATTATAAGAAAATTTTCAAGATATCAGATAGATCTCTCCAGAGGCTTTTATTTCTCTTTTATTGATGATGAAGCAGGTGTAGAGTGACTTGTTTATTTTTGGACATATAAAAGACAGAATTTTGTGAATTAGAGAAAAGTAATTAATCAGTTGCAATTGCCTACTGGTTAAGAATACTTGAATCTTAAAAACTGGAAATCTTTGAAATTGTTGTGAGACCATGTGTAGGTAAAAGGGGTTGCTGAGATGTAAAAAGTTTTTTTTTCATCTTTCCTTTGTCATAAACTACAGTCAAGATCTAGTGGGTATGATCTGATTATCACAGTTCCAGCTATGGACTGTACAAACACACAAAGAGGGAAAGTAGATGCAGATTAAAATGCAGAAATGATGAGCTTAAGTATCAGTTATAAACTGCTCAGTCTTTAAAGATTCTTACATGTGTAATGTTATGATTAATTGTAGGCAGTATCTCTATAACGTGACACTGCCTACTGCTGTCATTAATTAAAATGATATTGATTTATGATGGCTATTTTTGCTGCTAAATGGCGAAGTGAAAGAACATGGTGTGTTTGTAGTAGTTGAGCTAGGGGTAAAGAATATTCAAAAGATCCCCAAATGCTTGGGTCATCTTCAACACTGATGATAATCAGTAACAGGAGAGGTGACAGTTCTGTGTTGCATTTATAAGAGGGATAATGTATCCAGCTCCTCTCTTTTCACTTTTGCTGCCTCTCCATCCTGTCTATCAAACACCCAACAATTCCAAGGCAGGAACATTCCTCCTCCAAGGCCAAGAAGATGTGGAATCTCAATCACTCTGCTGCTTTCTAGTCATTGTTTGAAGGGCAGAAACTGCGTTTATGTAAGGGCTGGTTTCAGGTGTGGGTGAAACATCTTCATGAAAGTGGTGCTGAAGATAAGCAATGGCTGTGTATAGAAGCAGGGTTATGTCATTCAGGTCAGCACTGCACACTTGATTGGTCATTCTAGAGGTGAACTGATGGTATTATTGAAAATCTTTGTTATACACTCAAGATAGTAGTGTGTCCACAGTCTGTGCTTCCACTGAAGGGCTGGTTTTGTAAGTGCTTCTGTGAAAACTAGAGTATATGCTCTAAAGAAACACAGAAACTCCTCTCCAAATATATGCAAGTAAAATACATGAATTTACATTAGAAGCAGAGAAATTGAAATGGAGTATCATTTAAGGCATATATGGCCAAGTGTTAAACTTCCCAAAACATGAGGCAAAGCAGATTCTGTAGCTTCCAGTATTGTTTTAAAAAGAGTTTAATTTAGAAAGAGGATTTACATTTTTTAGAATTTATCATCACTTACTTTGCTTACTTTTTTAAGATGGAAATTTAGCAGAGTCTGAAGAATGTTTTGATGCAGAGCATTGCAAGACAGCTGTTTCAAAAGACTGTATCAGTGATGGTTTCTCTCATGACCTGAGAGAAAGTGTCTGTGTCTGCAGGAAACAGGAATCTTAGGAGATGTTTCCTGGAAGCAGGACCTAGAGGAAGTTTGGTAGGGTGAAAGAGAGCATTGCAAACTGACTGGACTTTTAATTTCTGTTTAGTGTTTTGTATTTTTGTATTTACTACATGTCAAAAGATGTCAGCATCTTGAAAGCTCATCACTATTTTTCCTTTTTTTTCCCCAAAAGATGAAATGTTGGTTTTAAACTCCGGATTTCCTACATATTAGCACTATTTCTTTTCCTTTGGCTTTGTTGAGTTGTAAAAACTTGTGTGGTGGGACAAGTGACTGAACAAATGTTGCTGTGTACACAAGGCAAAGGATCAACAGGACTGTCAAATATCCAGTGTGCTTTAACTGAAATATTAGAATATGTAATACTGTGTTGTTGGGGAAAAGGTACGTGACAACCTTGGGTGCTCATTTACTCGTTTGCTGCAATTCCACTTCAGGGGCTTCATCTTCCTTTTTGGTGTGTGTGGGCTTCAATATGTTGCAGACTGTGATGTGTCTGCCAGGCAGTGTCCATCTGTTTGTGGATGAACATAAATCTCCTAGTGTTGGGGATGGTATATTTTGCTATTAAATTCACTTTCTGATGAAAATTACAGTGCAGTTCTAGAGAGGCACTGCAAGCCCAGGAGATTTGCAACTTGCTGGATGTTCCACTGTGCAAATGCTGTATGTGCCAACCCAGTAACATAAGCACATGAATTTTCCTTAGAGGATGCAGTTTCAGTAGCAGCCTGTCCTTCTGCAGGTTTGATTTAAGTACACTTACTCTGCTTTTTCTAAAATAGCTTCTTGGATAAGAGGTGCTAAGCTCAGTCATGGGATAGATACTCCAGCTGGAAGATAGGCTGTCCAAACGTGATTTGTGTGAATACAGGAATTAAAAGCTGTGGGTGCAAATTTAAAATTGTTCTTATGTTCTTTTAAAATCTTTTCAATAAATAATGAAAATACTTTTTTTTTTGTTTCAAAACAAAGTGATATTACTAGGTGAGGATTTTTATTTATGTTGAACATGACCTTCGGTCATTTTTGAGGACTTTTTTTCCTCTAAGGTACCTTAGTGTTAACATATAGAGTCAAAATAGTAAGACTGATATTTAAGGATGAGGATAATAGTTAATTTAGCTGGGGAGGCAGTCTGGGTTTTGATTCCACCTTGCAGCTCAAACATATGATGTAGCATTCCTAAGTTTAGAAACTTGATTTAGCAGGGAGTGCTTTCAGTGTTTTTCCTTAGCAACCCAGCCTACCAAAACACCAGAGCTGCCCTTCCTGCTCTGTACTGAGGAACAGTAGCAAACTCTCCATGGTTTTAAGGTGGAGTTTATAAACAAAAATAGGATAATGAGTCCTGCAATTGTAGGGGATTGGAATTCAGTGGTCAGAGTGTTTTCCAATTACGTATTTCGTTGGTCTTGCACTTTCAGTATGATCCTATATGAGGTTAAGGACTGCACTTAAACTCTAGAGCATCATTTTTGTTTTAAGTAAACTTACCTGAAGAGTATTCATGAAATGGAATTGCTTGTGGTTTTTTTTGCTTTTTTTCCTTTGTAGGGGCTGAGCATGCCTCAAGATAGAAGGGGTGCTGGAGGATGCCAGCAGCTGCAAAGGGCTACAGCCATCCTTTGCAGAAGCTGAGAGGGCATTCAGGGAAGGACAACTCCATAGTACTGTTTTAGTTCTGATTTTTCTTTAGACATCACTTCTGATTGCTGTGTTAGCTGGACCTTTGATCTTGCTTAGTGCAGAAGTTTGTGTTATGTGTTGCCAGCGAAATGTGTGACATACTCTGCATATCTTTTTCTAAAAAGTAACACTGTTCTGTATTTGGTGCTGATACACAGCCCATTGAGGGGGACAGAGATTTTCTAGAGAGAAGAGAGAACAAATCTTATAAACTTTTATAAACAATTTTAGTGTCTACCTAATTATTAGAAATACTGAACTTTGTGTATGAACCTGGCATAAGAATTCGGTTAAATGCTTGAATGAAAGAAGCAGAAGGAGTTACACATGCAAGCTTGTCATCCCTTACCTGATGCTGTCAGGTTAACTGGGGCTTTCCTTCCCACCTTTGTCACTGTATTAACTGAGACCCGATTTAAACACTGTGCCTCCTTTTGCTTTCACTTCATTAGAATTCTCTGCTTTCTGTTACTTTGTCAGTACATAGTGATTAGCCCCCTCTGAAGCTGTTTATTTACAGGTTCCACAAAACTCCCAGACTGTTGGTCTGCATTCTTTGTACTCTTTGAATGTTGCATAGTGAGTTTCTAGTGTTTCGACTAGAAATGAAATGGGGATTTTAAAATGCCTGTTATATCTTGCATGATTTCTGATTATACTTTAAAAATGTTTTAATATTAAGAATAAGATCTGGCTGGATAGTACTGGATGCAGTGCAGTATGCAGAAGTTAAACACCTTTGCAGGTGTTGGGTCAGTCAGTAAAAACAAGCATTAAGTTTTAACTACTGAGTGTATTCCACAGACTTGTTTGACTTCTTAGGATGCAGGTTAACCTAGCTTGAATTCTTGTGCTGTGATGCTGCATTTTTTTGGATGCCACCAAAAAAATAAAAATCCAAGTTCTGCATTTTGCTCTCTTGTATTTTCAAACAGAAATTTGCTGTTTGCTCATTCCCAACCAGTACAAAGTGAATGATACTTGCAATTCACACAAATGTGTTTCAGATGTATTGTGAATTATAGATAATATTAAAAAAAAAATAGAAGGTTGGGCTTCAGTACATGGAGATGTTTCAGGCTAAAGACAAGGAAAAATTTAATCTGCCTGAGAAAGAGGAGTCTTGCAGAAGCTGATCATTGCTTCTTAGCACTTGCCTTTTGTGACAGCTGATGCCCATTTTAGGCCTCAGAGAACACCTGCATGGTTCCCTTAGAGAGATGAGCTGTGTAATCTGGTGAGTGCTAAAGGAATGAGCTCTCCCTGCTGCAGGAGCCTCAGTCTCAGAGGATCAGAGCTGACTGCAGGGTTAGGGAAGCGGGTCACTGGAGTAGAAGGCAAAGAAACTTTCAATGTTTTATTGTAGATCCAGCAGCAAGAGTGGCTGACAATTTGGTGCAGAGCCCAGCACTTCTTTTCACAGCTGTGGACAGTTCAAAGGGTAGTAAGTTGTGCTTGTGACACTGGTTGTATAAGCTGTTTGAAAGCTTAAGTTTAGCAGTCCAGAGAGGAAAATTTGTCTTCTGTTGACTGTCAAGAGAATAAGACAGTCTGGCATGCAGTGGGGTGGGAACATGCCTGGATTCTCATGGGAACTGAGAAGGAATTTGTTATAGAGACTTGAGAAAATACAAAAGAGGTCATGTTTTTGAAATGTGACAAATTGAAAATATCGTGCTAATGCTTTGATAATTTTATTTTAAAATCCAAAACCTGGCATTTCAAGGTATTAAGACTTCATTTGTAGAAGGAGAAGAAGAAATTACTCCTGGGAATAAAAGGGTAAAGTCAATAGTGTCAAAAAAGAGTACTGTGCAAGATTTTTTAAGTGGTAAAATATGGTGAGTCCTGTGAGCTGTGGTTCATCCTGTGCCTTTTAGCAGTTTAAACATTTAAAATCTGGGTCTTTACTTTCAGTAGTTGCAATGCTTATGGGAATTTGGAGATGTGCTAATGCAGGCTGTCATTAAATGTTTATTTTGTAAACCTTGGTTGCACTGCTTCTCTGTAACATGGTGTGAGAGCAAGACTTCAGCCACTGTAAATCCAGTTTTTGATATTTTGCTTGTATAGAGTCTTATGCTATTAATTTTTTTAACTGTGCTTGTCCTGCCCCTGTACTGGACATCAGCTTTTATAAAATACAATTGTTACTGCTATAAATGTAAATCTCCTGTAGAAATGAGGTTGGAAAAGGGCATCCTGTTGTCCTAAGAGTTCATGTTGAGTTCTGGTCTTCTGAATGAGAAAGTGGTACAAAAACACTGTTGTAAATGTGGATAGTAAACAGTGAAAATGTTAAATCTAAATTCTTACGTTTCCTCACTTTAAGAGGTGCTCAATAGGTGTGCTACATGTGAAAAATGTCTCTTCCTGTGTCAGGATATCAGTCTTCTCTCTGAGGTTCTGGATGTCAGTCACTCAGAAGTGGAAACCATTAAAAGGTTCCTGCAACCTAATGGCCCCAAATGCTTTCTACTTCTTTCTTATTATTTTTACTGTCCTGTCTCACTCTAAACTAAGCACTGAAAACTTGCCTTTGTTCTTTTTGAGATGGAGAGTGAAAAAGAAATGTGAACATGAGAATCCAAGAAAAACTATAAGATATTAAACTGCAGTGAAAATAAAGCAGTTTGGATAGAGAGTTGATGTCATCTCTATATTGAAACCCAAATTATATATTACTAATATATGAGTACTTGAAGATAATTCTGAAATTAGGCTGTGCTAGAACATGAATCTGTGGTAGTGGACTAAGAGCTTCAAGCTTTCTGTTCAGGAAGAGGTAACAGCTGAGCAAGGCAAACCCATGTGGTTCCCTCTGGCAGACATCCTGTTCTGTGTTTAGGGTTGATTCTGCACCCAGATACCAGAGAAAACCATGCAAGTGTACTTCCACGTATTTGGAAGGAAACTCTAACCTTTACTGGTAGAGAAAGGTATTTTTGTTTCATGTTATTTGTCAGGTGATTTAAGCCTGGATGCTTCTAGAAGGTAATGATGATTGGTTTTTAATTTCTAGGCTGAACCTCCTTCCTCCAGTTGAGCCTAGGGAGGCTGAGTGTCAGGGTAGGAGCAGGATTTCCCAGATCCCTCACTACTGTTCTGTCATTCTTCCAGAGCAGCTGCTTAGAATGCATATCCTGGAGGATTTTGTTCGAGTGAGCTGCTGCTAAGTAGGAGGTCTCTGGGTAACTTTCTATTGTGGCATGCTTGCTCCATCTCTGCAAAAATAGCAGCACTTAGGCAAATTTTACCCAATTTTGGTATTGGTGAGTTAAATTGCTGAAAAGCAATGCAGCTTTTGACAAGTCACACTGCCGCTGTGGGTGAAGCATATTTAATAGATGCTGAAGTGAAAGATGTGCATGAAAAAAATGAAACTGCTGTGCTTTGAAATGGCTCAGCATCCTTCACTTTTGAATTAAAGGATTTAGTTCTGGGCTGCTTTTTCAGTCATATCAGAGCTCTGGAGCCTCTTTTTAGGCAGGGTGTATCTTTTACAAATAGAGTATTTTTTTTCATTGCCAAAGACATTGTTTGCCATAGAAATTGGGGAGAATATCCAGGTGAGGATATTCTAGTGGTGTTGTGGGGCTGCATGAAGATGAATTCTGAATCCTCAGGTGCCAAAACGATAAGCTGATCAGGCTTTAGCTGGGATGCTAGCAAAAATTGGAAGATTGTTAATTTTCTAAATGCTGTTCCAATGAATCCTGCCATGAGAAGGAAAACAGAGGGACAACTCTCAATTACAGTCCTGTATCTGTATTTAATATATATTTTTAAAAATAGTTTTAGCAAAGTAACATGTTTGTATTATTTAAATGAGAAATACAGATACATTTCTGGTTACTGGAAAAATGTAAAAAAGGCATTTTATAGTTTGAATTAATGGTATGCTTTAATTTTAGCACAGCAGAAAAGTTGGATATGGGATCCCTATATCCCATATGGATATGGGTGAAGTTTGGGCTCTAGTGAGGTTCAAAGGGTGTGTGTATGGGCAGTATTGACTCTTTACAGCATTTTAGGAAGGTCTGGTTTATGCTAGTTTAGCCTGACTTTACAAGACACCGCCTATGTGCTGCAAGTTGCTTTCCTTGTCTCACAGCTATAGTACTTATGAATATATATTAGGAAATAATGTCCTTCAGGCCATACCAGGGTGCTGAAATATCCTGTGTATGTGAACTGCTGTTTATTCCAGGTTAGACTTTTCTCTAGACCTTTAAAAAAGAGAAGAGGAACAGAGGTTACAGAAGGTTGCAAGGAAATTAAACTTTCTATAGCTTATAAAGAATGTCAGTTTTATTACTTGAGGTGTATGAATTTTATTGTAGTAGCTTTCCCGTGTTAGTTGAACCCTGGAGGTGTTGAAAAGCTGTTTGTTTCAATTTCTCCAAGCTTGTTTTGTCTTTAACTGCTGTATGGTTGAAGAAATTCCTTTTCACCCTAATGCTCACAGTGACTGAAGCAGATAGCTCAGGATAGTGGGGAATACAGAGATCACCCTGGAAAACTCGTGCTAAACAGCTGCCTGTAATTTGTTGTGGCACCTCATAGGACTTGAACTGATAGAGGCAGCTCACGTGGGATGGCAGTTTGTGCTGGTAGAGTGTTTTGGGAACATTTGGTGGGGTACCAAGTATGTGTTCCTAAAGCCACTCTTGTCTTATAGGTGCAAATCTGACTCAAAGGGTGTGTAATTGCTTCTTTCATAAAGGTTTATTTTGTTTTCCAGTGTGTTGTCCAAGCACTTAAATGGCTTATGTTCCAGTTTATAAATAAATACAATCCTTAATCTTGCTTGGTATTACAGCTGTTTCTTTCATTTAAGGATGTTTCCACTTTTTCCAATATTTTTGTTTTACTCTGATTATAGAGCCATGGCAAAGATTTTAGGGCCCTTCCCCATCTCCTTTATTTCTGTATTTTACTCTGTGTGTGTGTGTACTCTATGTGAAGGGGGGTAGCTTGATTTTTTATTTTTTTTTTTCTCCCTACCTGTAATTCTCTGTCTTATTTCTGAAAACTTTTTTTGCTTGTTTGTTTATAGGCAAATATTGTCAAAACCTGTACTGTTCATTTTATAACACTTTTGGGTTAGTTGATACTGATTCATATGGGTCTTTCTAGCTGTTATTCTGTGAAGTACACTATGGACATAAATAGTGTGTTTGACAAAACTGATTTTCTATGTTCAGTCTGCTTCTGGACCTTCCAGATGTTTCTTTTGAAAGATGTGGCACATGCAGCTCATCTGTGATGATTCTCAGGGAAACTGAGCTAAATTCTGGCTTAATTCTCATACTGCAAACACACCACATTTGTAGTCCTGAGCATGAACTTTGCTGTGCAAAGGCTAATCATTTTAATACATTTAAAACTACAAACACAAAATCCATCCCAAGGCATGCTAAACAGAAACTGAATCAGATTACCAGAAGTAATGGAAATAGCAGTCGATTGTTATTTTATAGCAAGGGCCTGCAGGATTTTTAAGGAACCCTCACTTACTAGCATTTAACCTTTTCTTTTAGAAATACTGAGTCCAGCAGTTCTGCAACAGTAAATATTTTGTGGTATTTTCTTGTTATTTAGAAGAGGAGAGAGTCAGGGTATTTCTGGTATTGACAGAATTTAGGAAAATGTCTTGGTTAGCCCTGGAGGTGAATTACTGAAGTGACAGAGGCTGGCTGCTCACAGCCCCCATTCTTTAGCTCTTTAAAAAAGGAGTGGTTGTCCCTTCAGTCTGTGTTTGAGGAGAAGCCTCTGCAGGTTGTGTCAAGTAGCAGAAGACTCTGGGTCAGTTGCTCTGTGGAAAGGAACAAATAGTTCACCTATTGCTGCTCCTCGTTGCTTCAGACTGAGAGGAGATTGCTGGCTGGAATTCATGGGATTAAGCTATTAGCCCTGCTCAACTCTGTTTTAGCTAAAATGTCCTTAGGCCAGCCTGCTTTACCAACTGGAAAACACTGGAGTGAATAGCTGTTAAATTGAGCTTGAATACCACTATATGACACGATTTGTTCTAGCCATGCTGGGCTTCTTCTTTTAGTGACTTTTTCTGGCCTTTTTGAGTTACAAGTGCAGTGAGTTTAGACAAACTGTCAGCTGTAATTCAAAGGATAATTTAATTTTAGTGTGTTTTAGTTTTTTGCCACACCACTGACTTTAGGCTTAATGGTTAAGTAACTGCTTATGCTGTACATTCAAAAGGTTTTAGAGCACCTAATTTGGGCTTCTGTCCTGAATTTCCTTCTGTGATATAGTCTCCCTATCCACTGATTATGCATGAAGAGACTGAAAACCTACTGTGATACCCTTATACATTTTTACATTTCTACTAGACAAGTGTACTTTTGATAGAGAGGAGTATTTTTATATGTGATTATAGCTTTCCAAAATAAGCAGAAGGGATCAGTATCTAATAGAAGAGATATTTGTGAAATAGCTTGAGCAGTTGCTCAAGAATACTTTGCTGCATTGTAGCTATAGGAAGAAACTTGATTATATTGTGTGACCTTAAAGTGACTGGTATAGTTTCTTTAAGATTTACATCTGGAGCAACAAATAATCAATGCAAATGGAAGGAACTAAGCATAAGTTAAGTAATGCTGACTCAGATAAGTATCTGTTATCATATCTATGTTTAATGCATTATTTTTAATGTAAAATATTCTGAGTTGAAAGTAACTCATCAGGATTGTTGAGTCCAACTCCTGGCCCTGTGCAAGACGCCCCAAGAATCACCATGTGCCTGAGAGCATTGGAATTCTTACCTTTACTCTTTGAATGTAAAATGTCAGAAACTACTCTTTGAATGTCAAACATCAGAAACCCAGAATTTTAGGGGGTTTTGTTTGGGGCTTTTATTTGTTTAATTTATTGCTTCCATTTCTTCTATTGCTGTAATACACAATTCATGAGGAAGTGATTGGTTTGTAGCAAATGAAGTTTACAGTTTTTGGGGTTTCTGGTCAATGTCTGTAGTTTTGTACTTCCAGTGTAGGTGCTCTGTTTTTTGTTTGAGTTATGTAGATAATAGTTAGGGCCTATGTGTTAATCATAATCATCACATAAATGTTAAATTTAACTAGAGTTGTTTGCTAAATACCTTTAAGGATGGAGAAAGCTTTCAAAGAAAACTTTTAAAAGAAAAATATTTTACAGTGAGGGAATCGGTGAATAGTAACAGCGATTATGCAATTTGTATTTTAAAGTAGATTATTAGTACCTATGACTTGTGTTGAGAGCAATTCAACATTACCTGTAAAAGGGTGTTGTCATGTCTTTCCTTCTGAATTTCTTGTCAATGCTTGCTTTTAGTAACATTTATGTAGATAAGTGAAACTTCCTTTATCTAAATTAAGAATTATATTGAAGGCATTAATGTTATTATTTGCACTTTGCACCTCACTTCATGTTATTTACTGATTGCTATTTGACTCCAAAATGTCTCACCAATCCTTAGTCCATGGCATTTGAGTGTAAAAGTTATTATTCTGTGTCTAGCCTTGTTTCCTTGGAAAGATGCAGATTGCAGTCTGGCCAGAAAACTGAGTCAATTTAGCCAAAATGAAGAGTGTATATAGAGAGTTTGAAAAAAATGAAAAAATTGTAGGTAAGAAATGTTTCTATTGTTGTTACTGTTATTGTAAGTGGTTTCCTTTTGTCCATTTTTTTTCTTTTATTGTCTTCCAGGACAGAATAAGGAACTGCATTCCTTGGGTTCTTTCTGGTATTTTATTGATCGTTACAAAAAATACTGTGTCTGAATTGAGTTTTTCAAAAGTGCAAGATCAGAAATAAAAAATAAACGTGAAAGTTGTTTAGAGCTAAGCGCAAGCAATTGGTGTGAGAAAGCCAAATAGTCTTTTTAATGTGCATCTTTGAGCACTTCCAAGTATTTTGCAAGATAGTGTTTAATAATAGAACTTGCCTGGAGCATGTAATCTATGTTTTTGGTGTTGAACATGGCCATTAGGGCATTTCTTGCAACAGTTCTCTCTTGTTATACTTTGAATAATAAATTAGTACACGAAGTGGTTGAAATGACACTACTTGCCAAACCTGCATGAGCAATTTACTAACAGAAGCCAAGAGGAAAATGCTTTTAGATGTTAACTGTCTTAGCTAAAATCTTGACTTTTGTCTCTTTCTGTCATGCTTGTCAATAGATTTTTGTACAAGAATTAACAGATTTTGCCCATCAGTTAGTCTGATTCTTGCTTCTGGCCATAAAAAAGTTTGTGCAGTTGCTTCAGTGTTCGTGTCAGTCCTGGCTGATCCAGTGTACCAACTTCATCCCTCAGGCTTTGTCCCGTTGTCCGTGCATAAGATTGTATTTGAAGTCAAAAACTCTTAAAGCAAAATATAATTTTGTCACTAGTATTGCGGTCTCATATAGCAGGCATAAAATATATGGGATTAGTAGATGGATAAATGTTTTATTCCTTGTTTTCAGACAACCTGGGTTTGGAGCATCTAAAGATTAAGCAAAGTCTAGCTTTTGATTCAAGGTTGGCTTGACTGAAATTTTCAGTCTTGAAAATGTAAGGTTCTCTGCTCTCTGTTTTGAGTGTCAGAATAGGCACCAAACTGAACTATATTAAAATTGGAGTGAGCAAGCAGAAAAGCAAGAATGGAAAAGGGATGAGAAAGAGGAATGGAAGATACTGTATTATTTGTTTCCTATTATCACATGTAACTGCAGGAGTAAACTAGGCTTACATTGAGGAGCTGGATTAGTGCCAACTCAAGTAACTGTAGGAGTATGATAGGTGAGGCACACTAAAGGAAAAGTAATTATTAAATCTGTGGAAAAATTAAGAGCTGTGTCCTGTTAAGCAAGATCTCAATAAAGACTGTACAGGTAGACAAAATCAAAAATTAATAAACTAGTATATATGGGTAGATTTGAGTATCTGTGGCCTCTTGTTGTTTCCCAACCTATCTCAGCTGTTTCTGCATAATTTGGGACTGAATATGAAGAGTCTTTGATAGGTGCAAGAGAGATCCTTCTTCTTTTCCTCGTTCCACAGAGGTGTGCTGGATGTCAGCTGTGTGCATGGTGCAGGGCATGTGGCCTGTACCTTCAGAAGTTTATACTCTGCATCTGGGAAGTTGGATCACCCTTTGGAGGAAGGTGAATTTCATCCGGGCTGAGGTTATATTTAGAGCAGGAAGCCTCTCTCAAGTCTAGGGTGTCTCTTCTGTTGAATGTCAACTGGATACTTGTACAGAAGACTAAAAATTAATTGTGAACATAACAACTGTTATATCTTGCATTACTCACAGCAGACAGGTTTGCTTTTGGTATTTCCATGAATTTTCCTTTCCTCATCTGTGTGTTTAATTTGTTTTTTCTATTTATTTTGTTGCTGTTTATTGCAATGGCTGTAGAATCATAGAATTTATGAAAAGACCTTTAAGATCATAAAGTCCAGCTATTAATCTGACACTGCCAGATCCACCACTAAACTGTGTCCCTGAATGCCACAGCTGCAAGGTTTTGAAAATACATCCAGCACTGGTGACTCTACCACTTCCTTAGGCAGCCTGTTCCAATGCTTAACAACTCTTCCCATGAAAAAAATTTTCTTATATTCATCCTAAACCTCCCTGGTGCAACTTGAGGCTATTTCCTCTCTTTTTCATATGGGAGAAGAGAGTGACTCTCACCTCACTACAGCCTCCTTTCAGGTAATTGTAGGGAGCAATAAGGTCTCCTCTGAGTCTCCTTTTCTCCAGGCTGAACAACCCCAGCTCCATCAAGTCCTCCAGAGCCTTTTCCAGCTCCACTGCCCTTCTCTGGACACGCTCCAGCACCTCAATATCCATCTTGTACTGGGGAGCCCAAAACTGGCCTCAGGATTCCAGGTGCAGCCTCACCAGTGCCCAGTACAGGGGGACAATCCCTGCCCTGGTCCTGCTGG